CTATACCTATGAAGCACTTTGAGTTCCATGGATAAGCAGTGCACTCGTTGAATATATTGCTATTGTTTACGCCATTGCTATGCTATTGTTATTTGAAACATTACATTGGGCTTAGTAACAGTAAACAACATAGAACTTTCTACCAAAGAACATTACCAAAAACACTATGTGAAATGCAATCTTGCCTGGCAATAAAGGGATTAACTAAATGCTGTTCTCATCCCATGTTCTTTTATTCTAGTTACATTACTCCATATAGAACAGCTATTTCTTTCTTCCTGGTTGAAAGCATTAGTATTTCTGCTCCAGAACTGATGGACTAAACTAGTTCATATATCAGAAATATAATTCTAGAAAACATCTGGCACCTTTTAAAATACGTTTATAAAATAACATTTTAAAATACAGAGGTCTGAGACCTTTCTGGAAAAACTCTAGGAAAGAATTACCATCCTAAGTATCTCGTAAGGGCAAGCTAATGAATTTTATAGTAAGTTCACAACTTTTTGGAAATCAATCATGTAAAATAAATATCAGTAGTGAAACAGCAGCACAAGGATAACAAGTTTCACTCACATGTAGCCAGTGTAATTTAAGAATGTGCCAGGCAGAATGGTAGCAAGATACACGATCTACCTCAAAGCCATGGTTAGAAGATGCTAATCCCAACTCAGCAAATGAATCATTATATGACTTTGGGAAAATTAGCTTAGTTTCTCTGCCTAAAAAGGCAAACAGTAATAAGCAGATACTTCTAGAATAAATCTTCAAAATCTGAGAGAGAAAGGGAGATGGAGAGTGAGAAGTGGAAGAGAGGGGAGACAGAGAGATGGAGAGAAAATGGACACAGGGAAAGCTGCAAGATTGAAAAGGTGCTGAATGCTTGCTCTGTGCTATACTAAAAACAACATGTCTGCTTCAGGAAGCATAGAGTTTATGAATCAAAATATGTTAATACAAGCAAATCAGGCATCATTATTTATTTAGCACATATGACAAACAAATGCTTTGTTAGATGTGAGTTTAAACAACCATCCCTTCTCTCAGGGTTATGCTATAGATAAAGAGAAAACATACTAACATTCCAATTAATCCAACAAATAGTTATTAGCCCTTGCCTCTCTGCCAGGTACTGACAATGTGACAGTAAACAAGACAGACGTGGTTCCTGCTTCATTGAGCTGACAAGATAGACAAAACATAAGTAAATAAAATAATTACAATTTGCAGATAAGAGCTATGAAGAAAGTGAGGAAATGAGCCAAAAGGATATCAGAGGGATATCAAAGAGAAGAATGTTCTAGAAAGGGGGAACAACAAGTGCAAAGGCCCTGAGGCAAGACTCACTTGGCACATGTTCAAGAATAGCAAGGAGGTCAATGGGCTGGGGTAGAATCACTGAAAGAGCAATTCATAGAAAATGGAGATGGAAAGACAGCAGGAGGCCAGACCAGGCAATGTCTCCTAGGCCAAGGCAAGGACTTTGGATTTTACACCAGAGAAATGGGAAGTCTGTGACTGACTGACAAAGTTACACAGCTGGTAAACTTGGAACTAAAACACTCATCTTCTGACTTGTATTCTAGTGTCCTTTACCTTAGACTCTGTGATTTTATTTTTCATTTTATTTTATTTTGTGAGGAAGATTGTCCCTGGACTAACATCTGTGCCAATATTCCTCTATTTTGTATGTGGGACACCACTGCAGCATGGCTTGATAAGTGGTGTGTAGGTCCACGCCCAGGATCTAAACCCACGAACCCAGGGCCGCCGAAGTGGAGCATGCGAACTTAACCACTCCACCACTGGGCCAGTCCCTAGACCCCATGATTTTAAATGGTAAGTTTTGTTTTTTACCACAAAGGCACTCAGAATGAAAGAGAGCTGGCGTTGGATTGATTGGGTTTTTTTAGATTGTCATATTTTAAATTATTTTTAAAAAAATATTTTTTTAAAAAATTGACATTCATGGAACACAACTCAAAAGTGACCACAGGTTTTTCAGTGCAGAGTTAGACTCTTTCCCACCTCTGATCCCAGCCACTCATCTCCCCTCCCCTCCCGCTAGTCTCTGTCATGGCCTTAAAGGAGTTGAGTTTCAAGATGACATTCATGCACCAATATTTACTGAGAGTCTATTCTTTGCCATGGGCTGTACTAGGTACTGGAGACTTAATAGACTAAGACGCAATCTCTGCCCTCTGAAAGCCTATTGTCTAAAAGACACAAGAAAGCTCTTAAGGTTTGATTCACAAATATAAGGCAAAAATAGGTCCCAAAGTAAAACAAGAAGATTTTCAATTCCAAAATGTTCACATTTTCTTTAACATATCTTAAGAGCTGTATAGGGCATTAAAGTCAACACTAACGTTTTTGGGTCATGCAAACAAGCATTTTGAAGCAATTTTCTATTCCAAATATGAAAACTCCCTAAAATAGCTTGGGGTTCTTCACTAGTTTATCCCTATTCAACCAAAAATAATAAATGAAAAGGAAATGTCTTCAATTACTTTAGGAAATCTATATAAGAAAAAAAAACTAATGAATAAGTCACAAAGATGTAATGTACAGCGTGGTGACTATAGTTAATAATATTGCATTGCATATTTGAAAGCAGGTAGGACAGTGGATCTTAAAAGCCCTCATCACAAGAAAAAAATTTTGTAAGTATGTACGGTGATGGATGTTAACTGGGCTATTGTGGTGATCATTTTGCAATATATAAAAATATCAAATCATTATGTTGTACACCTGAAACTAATATAATGTTATATGTCAATTACACTCAATAAAAAAATAACTTTTTAAAAAGAAAAAAACCTAAATTCAGTTTCATGTGTGCCTTTGGATTTTGTACCAAGGGAATGTATTACCTATTCAAAAAATACATATATATCTTTTTAAATCAGGGTACAGATTGAAAGTAGGTAGAGGGGAGTAGGGCTCTGTCTCCAGGAGGAAGAAAGGCAGCCATAGTGTGGAGGAAAGGACCCTGGGGTAGAAGGCAGGAGTCCCTGAATTCTAATACTAGATCCTCCCTGACTAGTGTGGAACTTTGAGCCAGTGATTTCTCCACTCAGCTTCAACGAAATCATCTACCAAGTGAGGATGACCACATCTTCCCTACCTCACCATTAGACTGTCAAATGAAAGGGAGCCCTTGCCCTTCTTCTGTGATGAACTCCTACTCATCCCTGGAGCACTGATTCAAACATCACCTCCCCCATGAAGTCTTCCTAGACTTTCCTGACCAGATGACATTAGTGGCTCCATCCTCTGGGTTTCAAGAGAAATGTTTCTAGCATTGTCCCAGTTTCCTGACATTGTTCTACTTCTTTCAGTTTCTCCCAGAGGCAGGAAGTTGTCTTAGTCTGTGAAGCTCCCAAGGGCTAACAGTTCACAATTAGAAGTTCAATAAATAAATACTTGCTTAATGAACAGTGAATGAATGATACATGTTTCCTTGTCTGCATTTGTACACACTTCTTACATGTGATAAATAAATGAAAAGCAATAGGATATATTGGAGTATATGAGGAAGCCATTTAGTTTAAAACTAATTCTGCCTCACATGGCCTATTGATCATGCATTGTATGTCTGCTTTAAACATTTACTACATACCAAAGACAAGAATGATGCCCTTAGAGATAAGGATGTAACTTCCCCCCATACTGGCATTTCTTCAAGGATAAGCATCTCTTCCTAGAAACTAAGGATTGATTACCAACTTGCTGTGCTCACCTTGTGACCACTGACCTGCTGTGCCAGCCAAGCATCTCAGGACAGTAGTAAAAGAGATACTCCTATCATATGTAACATATGCTCTTTGTTCCAAGACAGTATATAACCACTCTATACATCCCACTCCTTAAGAGTGCTTCCTTCCTTGGGGAAGGCAGGCCCTGGGCTATAGTCCTCAGGCCTGGCTCATAATAAACTCACCCCAATTTTGATTATGAATCGTTTGTGTTGACACGATTCTGCAAAAAATGTAAGATATGAATGGACGTAAAATCATAAACAATACAAATATTATGGGCTTTTTCTTTCAAAAACGTTCAATTCCATTAGGGCATCTTTTCAACATAAGCAAATGTTTTAAACAACAACAACCGGGGGTGGGGGTGGGGGAGGGTACATGGAACAGAGCTCCCTATAGTCTCCACACCTTGTTTTACGCTTCAGCTGGTACCAGGCTCTTAGCTGTTTGCTAAAAGAATGAGTTATCTTTTTAAAGCTTTAAACGATTCACGACAAACTCAAGCCTCCACGGACTCTTCTCAAGACTGGATGGAAAGATTTCCGTAGGATTCAGACGAGGAAAATAAGCAGCAAGAGTGAACAGCACAAGACACTCCTGTGTAGTTACAGGCAGGTTAGTTTGGCCTTTTTCAAAAATTTCCTTCAGAAAAACACGACATTGCTAAGGTGGTGATCTAGTGAGATGCGAGATCTGGGGTAACTTTCGGGGTTCCCTCGCTCCCCCTCTCCGCTTCTCTGAGCTTTCTACACGGCCCGTGGAGCCCTGCAGGGCCACAGCGGGGTTTTCGTGCTGAGGCCACGGGCCCTTCCCGTGCGCGAGCCGACGCAGGCCCCGCGTCCGTCTCCAGCCTCGTCCGGAAGGAGCTCGGAGGAAGCTCTTGGGCAGCCTTGATCCCGGCGCCGGGACGTTTTAGCCCGCGGAAACCTCGACCTCCACCTGCCAGCTCTGCTACGCGGTCCTGCACACCGCACCGGGGCCTCTAACACCTGCAGAGGCCGGAACCCGCCGCCCGGGGCGTGGGCGCAGCGGAGCGTAATAGCTACGGTACCGCCCCGCCGCCAGGCCCCGCGGAGAGGCGGAAGTTGAGGGCGCTGACGCAGCTGGGGGAACTTTGCTTCTATGGCACCTTCCTGTCCGCTACTCCGCCCCCGCCAGAGGGGCTCGGCTCGGGAATTCAAGATGGAGTCGCTGAGCCGAGCTGGGCAGGAGATGAGTCTAGCGGCCCTGAAGCAGCACGACCCCTACATCACCAGCATCGCAGATCTCACGGGCCAGGTCGCTTTGTACACCTTCTGCCCTAAGGCCAACCAGTGGGTGAGTGCGGCCAGGCCGCTGAGGTCGCTCGCCCTGCCGCCGCCTCTTAAAGGGGCCGCGCGGAACGCCCTGGGTGGGGGGCGATGCGGGAGGCCAGGACGACGGAGGCGAGGCCAGGGACTGTAGAATAGCCTGGCCGGCGCCAGAGGGGTGTCGGGGGCGCCCTGGATCGGGGGAGAGGAGCGAGAGAAGTAGGCCCAAGACAGGGGGAAAAGCCGATAGAGGGGAGGATTGGAGGAGAATCTGTCGCTTGGGGTCGGGTCCGGGGACGTGGGCGCCCTGCCTTCTTTGCAGGTGTGTTTTAGAATACGAAGCCGATGGGGTCAGAAAGATGCCTGAAAGATTGTTTGAAGCTTCGAGGGTTATTAAATAAGTTACATATGCATAACATATAAAGTAAACACCTCGTAAATACAAGCTCTCCCCGCAACAGACACATAAATAAGAGCCCCCTTCGCAGAGGTCATTTGGATTGAAAGCTTGAAATCCAGTTAGTTTCAGTTCTTGGAAAAGGAGGTGGGGATAAGTCCGGCTTTTATCGAACTACGCTGTGTTTCCCGAGTTTTGGAGAAGATTTCAAGGCACTTAGGAAAAGGGCTTCGTATTAACTGGATTCCTTTGAACTCTTTGGAAAACGAGACCCTGTAAATGTGTCTCCTTTCAGCTCTGCTGCTGGTGATGTCACCTCTGAATGCTCCCATTAGACTAAGTACTTTTTGGCTTTTTTGCACGGAAGGGGGTCCGAAAAGTTACGTTCAGTCTGTTCAGTGACTTGTTAGCCCCTGTTTGAAGCTTCGTTCGTTGTTTAAATAATATAATTTCCCGTTTTCTCGTAATCGACCCTTCTTAATGAACTCATTCAGCTATAAGCTTGACATTTAGAAAATAATCCGTACATGTTTGTTGGATTGAATTCGTGAGTGACTGACGTTCACATTTCAGTAAGGAATGAAATCTTTATGTTAACAAAACTCTAAAAGATTGTTATTGTAATATGTCCTTTACAATATAATGCTAACAAAACTCTAAAAGATTGTTATTGTAATATGTCCTTTACAATATAATACAGATACATAGGTTATATTTAATCAGTAATTTTGTGAAAATCATTTGGCATTTATAAACGGTTAATTCAGGTGAACAGAGTTTTCAAAATCATCTTGCTTTACTTTTTCTTTCCTTCATCTCCTGAAAGAGGAGATATAGGAGGCCACAAATAAGAAAATTATAGAATTTTTTTAAGTGTAGCTGTTTTAGACGTTGCCTTAGTTTGAATTGTTCTTAATCATTTTTCTTTTCTTGGTCTACCTATAAATTTGTGAAATATGGATTGCAGACAAATGGTGAAGACTTGGGGCAGGGATTTATTACCAGCAAGCTTTTATTTCCAGTTTTTAACAGACTTTCATTATTTTGGAATTTTAATTGTGGAGTTCTATTTTAAATATGAAATACAAGCTTTAATAACCTGAATTGAAAAATAAGCTGCTGTCGTTCATTTGGATCATGGCACATAGAGCATAACCAAAATCTTTCTTTCTTTATTATTTTACAGTGAGTTGTAACTTTGCACAGTGTTTTGTTTGGGCAAGTTTGCTTCCACTGTAAGACAGTTGATTACCAATTTCTTATACTAATAACTTGACATTTGAAAGGCAAGAAAAAGCCTCTGAATCCTTAGGAAGGAAAAGTTTCATGTGATATTTCAGCTAGGGCAATACTCCTGGAAGAAATCAAGATGATAAATATTTTTTAAAATTTTTTATCCCAACAAATTCAATTTGATATGACTAACATTTAAGGTTTTCTAGCAGTTTGTTGATTACATTAAAATATTTAGGTCCCATCCAGGCTGTGAACTGCAGACTATTATGGTTATTTGTTTCTTTAAAACATCATAACTGTTTAAAACCTAAGTACACTCTTATCACAGCAAGTGAAAGATGATATGAGTTGTACTTTCTTAATCAAAACATTTCACTTTAAGCTAAAAAAAATTTTTTAATTATATGTAAGACCTACAGTAATTACATTAAGGCAGAGTATAGTTTCAGTATTCATAATTCTTCAACAAAGTTCTAAAAATAAGCTAATCATTTTTGACAGTATTTCTTAACTAACCACAGAATTTGCTACTCATGAAAATCTCCCAATGATGAAACAAAGTGTCCTATAAGATAAAATTTTGTTTTTTTATCCTACTAACTTTGATAAACTTTAAAAGTGAAGAAATTGCTGTACACAGGACCTTGGCTTTAAAATTAAGAAATTTGGCTAAAACATTTTGGCTTTAAAAAGTGAAAGTTGGGGCCAGCCCAGTGACCGTGATGTAGTGGTTACGTTTCAGCACACTCGGCTTCGGCAGCCCGGGGTTCAAGGGTTCAGATCCCGGGTACAGACCCTCACCACTCGTCAGCCACGCTGTGGCGGCAACTCACGTACAAAATAAAGGAAGATTGGCACAGGTGTTAGCTCAGGGCCAATCTTCCTCAACCAAAACAAAAAAAAGAGGAAGATTGGCAACGGATGTTAGCTTAGGACCGGTCTTCCTGAAATTGAAAAGAAAAAAGTAAAAGCTAATTCTAGGGTTTTCTTCTTTAAAATTTAAAAAAGGAAAAGAAGGGGCCAGCCCAGTGGCTAATGGTTAAGTTCACGTGCTCTGCTTCAGCGGCCTAGGGTTTGCGGGTTTGGATCCTGGGCGCAGACCTACACCCTGCTTATCAAGCCACGCTGTGGCAGGTGCCCCACATATGAAGAAGAGGAAGATGGGCACAGATGTTAGCCCAGGGCCAATCTTCCTCAGCAAAAAAAAAGAGGAGGATTGGCAACAGATGTTAGCTCAGGGCTAACCTTCCTCACCAAAAAAAAAGGAAAAGAAAAATGCTGTAGATACAAGCATGTTCCTGGATTGAACATTGCATATACATTAATATGCATCAATAGCATAGAAAGGATACAAAAGAAGCTGGTAACAGTAGTTTGTGGACTGAGAGACTTACTGGGCCTGTTCAAAAGAGATTAATTTTAAAATAAATAAGTCGATCTTAAACATGAAGTAGTTCTTCTCCGTTGGGACTATTTGGGGTTAGATTATGGAGAAAAAACTAATTGATTCATTGTCTGTTATAGGAGAAGACGGATATAGAAGGGACCTTATTTGTATATCGAAGGTAAGCTTTTTTTTTTTTAATGATATTTATTTATTTTTTTAATTTAAATGTGAGCAATGTAGGGGCTGGCCCGGTGGCGCAAGCAGTTAAGTGCACACGCTCCGCTGTGGCGGCCCAGGGTTCGCCAGTTCGTATCCCGGGCGCGCACCGACGCACCACTTGGCAAGCCATGCTGTGGCGGCGTCCCATATAAAGTCGAGGAAGATGGGCACAGATGTTAGCCCAGGGCCAGTCTTCCTCAGCAAAAAAAAGAGGAGGATTGGCAGATGTTAGCACAGGGCTGATCTTCCTCACAAAAAAACAAACAAAAAAATAAATTAAAAAAAAAATGTGAGCAATCTCATATGGAGTGGTTCATCTCTGTTGTACATTTGTCTTTGAAACTGTCCTGCTTGGCTCTTCAAGTATTCATCCATCCCTAGCTGTGAGATCCTAACTAAGTTATGTCCTTTCTTTGAGCCTTCCTGTGGTTCAGAATAAACATAACCAGAAGTTATTTAGGAATCTAGCAAAACCGTCTCAAAATAGAAAACATTTTCTAGTAATGAATGAGTCTTAAACAGATTCCTTCCTCCTTCCCCCCCATATTTAAAAAAAAAGGTATGTAGTCGAGAAGACTATAATACATGGACTAGCTCTATAAAGTAATGTAGTTGAAAGTTCAGTTTCTGCTGCTCTGTGGTTACTGAATGGGAGGTTATCTTCTATAACTCTGGTTCTGTCCCCTTTTCGACCTCCCCCAAAAGTTCTGGATTGTGTACAGTGTCTTTGGTAATGTGTTTTTTTAGTTTGAGAGTCCTTTAGAAAGCCTGGATTATTCATAATTGCACATTTTTTATTTTCCACTTTTTAGAGAATTAATTATTATCTTAAAACGTGATTGGTTTGCAAATTGCAGCCTTTGTTTTGTCTGGCAGTTTTTGTGGCCTGAAGGCAACTGACAGGTTATGATAGTCACGGAGTTCCTTGTTTTCCTGGATCGCTCTTAGGTCTTGCTCTAACTGGGGCAGGTTCCTTCCCTTGATTTCTAAAGCTTAGGGACTCAGCAGGAGTTACTACTGACATATGGTTCTTTTCCTTTTTTTTTTTTTTGTGTGTGTATTGTGGGTTATCTTTTAATGATTACTTTTCTCTGTTGATGGTAATTAACAAGAATTTGTCAAATACTCTTCTAAATTTTGGTGGACTGCTTTGAGATCTTGTCTAAACACACTGATCTTTTTTTTTCCCTTAAATGTAAGGGCTTTGATATTATACACCAAGCTCTTTATTCTTTGACACTTCGTTCTCTGTTATTCATCTTTCTCCTTTAACAAAAAAAAAGGCTTTCACCCTTCAGCTACTTCATTATCAATATAAATCTCTAGAAACTCTTCAACTTTGTTAGAACCTTGGTACCTATAATATTTGGAAAGTACTTTCCTAGCCTATTGTTACAGTGTAGTATAGATCCACTGATTGTAGAAAATGTGAAATTTAGTATAATGAGTGACTTGATTTAATAAAATTCATGGAGGTATTGAGTCTAATAAAAGGACACTGAAGAAACTCTGTTTGGGAAATGTGAGAACATTTTATGTACCTTGGGTAAAGCTATACTGGGATGTCAGAATATCACTTTGCAGAGACCTTAGTGTAGAAGCCTGGATTTGGAGTCAGAAAACCTGAAGCTGAATCCCGGTTACATTATTTGTGTGACTTTGGGTGCAGACCTTAATCATTCTGAGCTTGTTTCCTAATCTGTAGAATAGGATTCTAAAATCTTTCCCATGTACACAGAGAAACGAATGAGAAACTATGAAGTGTTAATACATGTGAAGAATGTCTAAAGGATCATGTGCTGAATCACCCTGATATGGGAACCAAGGATGTTGCTTATTGTAGGATTTCGGGCATTTTCTGTTTAACTTAAGAGAATTATAAAGAAAGACCCATTTGGTGCAAGAAAAATCATTATTGTAATGGCGGGCAGTTATTATTATAACCAATCCTGTATCATATTTAAAATAAATGATATTTTCATTGAGCAGATTTTTATTAAACATCTGCTGTGTGTCTCTCTTAGGATACATCTGAAAAAATAAGACAAAAACCCTATTTGCATGGAGCTTGCTTTCTAATGGAGAAAGACAGTAAATATAAAAAATGATAAGTAAGTGGTATGGAAAAAGAGAGAGGAGAGTTAGAGGTGTTGAGCTTGGGAGCAGATTGGGAGCATTAAAAAGGGTAGTTCTCAGTTAGGCCTCATTGAAAAAGTGACATTTGAGCAAAGGCTTGCAGGAGATGAGATAACTGTAGATGCTGGGCAAGTGGTCCAGGCAGACGTCTTTAGATGGAAGCATACCTGTAGGGAGAGTGGTAAGGAGCTCAGTGTGGCTGGAGCAGGAGGAGCAAAGAAGAGGCATAGGAGATGAAGTCAGGGGGGGCCTTGGCAGACTTAGTAAGAACTTTGACCTTTACTCTGAGGGACTGAGTCCTTGGAAGCTTCTGAGAGGAGGAGGGGTATGATCTGATTTAAATTTTTTGTTTACGATTTTAAGTGCTACAATTTTAAATTTTTTTTTTACAATTTTTTTAATATTGTATATTGCAATAATATAGTCATTCTTTGAAATGGTAATTTAAAAAGTAGATAATGTTTCTGCAAATTAAACAGTGACTACAGATTTTTTTTTCTTCTATTAAATCTAAGATCAGCTTCACCTTATCACGGTTTTACCATTGTGAATCGACTGAATATGCACAATCTAGTTGAACCAGTGAATAAAGATCTGGAATTTCAGCTCCATGAACCATTTCTTCTGTATAGAAATGCAAGCTGTAAGTATATCTGTTTTATTATAGTTTGTATATTTACAATTAAAATTGAGTGACTTTAGTTTCTATCAGCACATTACTTTTGGAGTTTCAAGTTTTAATAAAAAATATGGTCTGTACTCTTTTATGGTTATATAGGAATCTCTTAGTAAGATTAAACCTTTTGAATTGGGCTTCTAAAATTGAAACACCGTTGTATACAATAACATATTTTAGTTAACTATACTATTCTGTAGAATAGCATTACATTATATTCCTGTGGTTTGTTTTATGAAAATAAGTTTCACTCTTTTTGTTCTGACAGTGAATTATTGGCTGCCCATGCCCCTGAGCAACAGAACTTAGTTTGAGAGACACAAGATGGGGACAGATACTGATATTTCTATCCACAGAGAAAGTACTGTCTTTGCCCTGGTAGTGGTAATTTTCAATCTGTTTATTTAGTTGAGTAACTAGTGGGTACATGCGCTGGGGCAAAAGTGATTGTACTTTAATGTTAATGATACAATAACCCATGTGGAGTAGGCAGGCACTTAAGTCAACTGAAACTCAGAGGTGAATGGCAGCTACTCAGTTGGAGAGTGAGGATTATACCCCTTTTTTCTGCTTCCTAGTCCAGGGTCCTTTTAGGCATTTTACAGACTCTGAGAATGGTTGCATGCAGTCAGCAAAGCCAGAGTGGCCCTTTCAAGAAGTAAAGTCAAAAAAGTATGTTTGGTTCCTGTATTTCAGTATGGGTACTGAAGGTATGAGTGCTGAGGACAGGAGACAGGCAGTTTGTTTGGCACTGACTGTGGGGATCTCAAAAGTGGGGATGGTGGTAGAGTAATTGTGCTGTAACTACTATCTGGGGAGATTGCTGTAGAAATGTTGCTTCTGACTTAAAAAGTAAAAATTACAGTGCTTGAATTTCACTTGACTAGGAGGTAACTGGTATTGGCGGAATGTCTTCAGTGTAAAATATAAAAAGCTGCTAGAAATTATGCATCTTTTTTTTGTTTTTGGTGAGGAAGATTAACCCTGAGCTAACATCTGTTGGCAATCCTCCTCCTTTTTTTTTTTTTTTTTTTTTTGCTGAGGAAGATTGGCCCTAGGCTAACATCCGTGCCCATCTTCCTATACTTTTATATGTGGGACGCCTGCCACAGCATGGCTTGGTAAGCGGTGCATAGGTCTGCGCCTGGGATCTGAACCCACGAAGCCCGGGCTGCCAAAGCAGAGCAGGCTAACCCAACTGCTACGCCACTGGGCCGGCCCCAAATTATGCGTCTTTTAATTCCCTGAATAAGAAATGGCAAGGTCTATTTTGAAGCTAGAAGCCCCAAGTTATTCTCCCCTGGCTCACTTTTAAGTATCTAAGTGAAATAGAATCTCTCTCTTGACTTTTTGGTAAACTATATGTCCAGATAATTACCTCTCTAGAATTTGAATTTCTGTGGACATATTGGCAATGCTTTTTAACACCTGTAAGTTCAGAGGGATCTACTTAAACTAATGTTAACAGTAGAATTACTTCAGATGGCTGTTTTCTTTGTGCTGAACATTCTGTTAAAGGGAAAGTTCTGCAAAGGAACAGATCCAATTTTTTTTTTTTAAGGGAAATTGGCTTAATTCTGCTCTTTGCTACCTAGAGACTTAATCTAGCTATTGCTTTCAAGAAAAGTTTGATTATTAAAGTAGTCAGTAGGGAAAAATTATCAGAGGTCCGTGGACTTAATAACCATTAGCATAAGCCTGGAGTGGATCATATTGTATTTGTTTCACAAGTAAAGGTTCCTATGAAGTTGAAAGTGCAACATAACACAAATATAATTGAACTGTGATTAACCAAAATTTAGCTAATGAGAGCCTCAATATCTGGAAATATTTCTATAGTCGATGTGTGGAAGAAACGAAGGCAAGTTATAAGAAAACAAGCTACGTTAGGTTTTATTTTGTGAAAATCTAGCAGATAGCTCAAGTGTAACCTGGGGTCAGCATAAAAATGTCAATATTCTGTAACTTTAACTCCATTATAGTATCATAGATTAATTTGTTGTAACTATAAGACATGAAATCATCAGGAGTGTTTATTATGTTAATTAGAATATTCTTGAGCAGAAGTGTGCACTAATGCATTTTATTTTAGAATGATATTCAACAAGAAGTTGAAACAAAAATTTCCTTAGTTAAACAGAAAACTCACTTAACCAGGTCATTCCAGTCCCCAGTTAATTGAGGCACTGGATCATCTCCTAAGGGCCATACAGTTTCTGATATTGCTAATTAGAAATTCAAGAGCACATCAGCTTGTTTTCAGGCTAGAGAAAGGCCTGAAAAGGTCAAGTACAACACCGTGGGTATGTTAGAAACAGTCTAGAAGAGGAGCTTGGGGACACTATTTAAAGGAGTAGCTTTATCGGGGAGAAGTGACGAGACAGCATAAAGGGATTCTGGGAGTATTAAGATCTCTCTTGAGTGTGTGTTTTGTCTAGCTGATCTCAAAAGTGGAAGATAGTCTTGTCAGGTCAGCAAGCCATTGAGCTGTTTAGGGATTTGCTCTTTAAATAAAAAGTTAATTAGTGTCTGATCGTGTATACAGGTAATTATACCTAATTCTGTAGCTGTCCTCTTTTCTTGTGGGAAATATCACCAAGACACCTGACCCATTTTACTCGTCACACCTTCAGATCCAGCTTCTTTCGCTCAAATCAGTTTTTAGAGTTAATAGAAAATTGAACTGTAACTTTTTCTAGTTCTAAACTGTTGGTTTTGTTTTACTTTTTAGTTTTTCTTTATACAAAATACCCACCCCCACCTCCTCAAGAAAAAGGTAAAATCTTACAGAGAAAATGCTTATCAAGGGCTTAGTTTTGGTGATTCTCTTGAATCTTTCAGAAGCAGTCTATTTTTATAGTATACTCTGCAAAGCACCTTTTGGCAGCCACAAGACCCCAAAGGGGCTACGGTGAGGTTTGGGGAGACTGGAGATTCTGTAGTTATTAAGCAAAAGTGATGTTCCCAGCACCTTATTTTGATTCCTGATTTACAGATGAGGAAACGAGTACCAGAAAAATTAAGAAGCTCCTTAAGAGTCACAAAGGTTGTAAGTGACAGGGGCAGAAGTCAAATCTAGGTCTGTTGAGCTTCAAAGCCAGTGTTCTTTCTACTCCACTGCAACAATAAAATTACTTAGTTCAACAATCCACGTTCTAGAGCACTGCTATCCAAAGAACTCTGTGATGTTGGAAATGTTCTGTATCGGTACTGTCCTGTATAGCAGCCACCAACCACATGTGACTGTGGAGCACCTGAAACGTGGCTAGCGCAACCAAGGGAAAAATTTTTTCATTTTATTTAATTAATTAATTATTATAAATAATATAATTTAATATAAACTAAATTTATTATTTAATCAGTTTGCATTTAAATAGCCATATGATGCTATTGGCTACCGTGTTGGACAACGGAGGTCTAAAACATGCTCAAACACCCTTTTGTTGTGCCAAGCCTGATTTTAACAAGCATCTGGGAAGCTTTGGATTAGATTTTTGTCTCCCACTTAGTCATTCCTTTTTAAAATTTATAAATGATTTCTAGATACAAAGGCTGCAGAAGATATCCCTGAGGGTGGCTTTGCCATGGTAACACTCCTTTGGTTTGGAATTTAGTTTGCAGACAAGAATTCTATTCTAGGCTTGGCCATTCTACCAACTGTAACCTTGGATGAATCGCTTAAACCACTGATGTAACCTGCTTGTCTTAAAAGGGCATCATATATATGAAGCACATACAGATATAAATTATTACAGACTATGTCTCCATCCTGGACTCAGACCAAATGATCTCATCGATGAAAGAGTCATAAGGACTTTAGTATTATTCAGGTCCTCTTATAACCCAGGCCCGTAATGTGCTTCTTCCCATCCCTTCTGACTAGTACTGTGACAAACTGGGGACTCTGTTTATCTTTACAAATACTATTTTCAGATGTTGTAGGAGCCATGACTAGACAGCCTGAGGTATGATGAGTTGAAAATATACGTATGTTAAAAATGAGAAATCTTAGCGGGTACAAATTTTTTAAAACTCTGAACAGAAGCAGTTCTGATCAGTGGGTTATGGTGTTCATTTTTATCAGAATACTGGAATACATAGTACCCTCCTGGCTAAAACTTTGTGTTAATGTAATGATGTTTTAATCTGTGGACACTTCTCCCTAAAAAACATTGATGATAGTTTTAATTTCATCTGTGATTAGTTGAAAAAACATAGTTCTTTTGCTATGTAAACATATGCGTTACTACCAGTCTGCTCATCTTCTGTTTGCGTTTGTAAACAGAATCCATTTTACTAACTGAATTATAAAACCATTCTTTGGCAACTCTGAACTTCTAGGAGTTCTGTGGCATAGGCACATCAAAGAAAGTATCCTTCAGTCCTGTCTAGCAATATCATGACAGCAAATCTTACTTCTACAAACGTTTAGAAATGCTATATGAAATATTAAATGCATAGCTTAGCCGGAAGGGGAGTAGGGGACATTTCAGTGGGCCAGCATCAAAGTAAAAACTGAAAGCTAAAGTGGAAAGCTTGTGACCTGACACTGCCTGCCAGCTGTTATGGCATTCTTGGGGATGGGGAGCTCTCCTTAATATAAGGACCCCATTATAATTACATGGGATCAGGAGACAAGACCTTGAGCCCGCATGAAGTAGAGAGTTGGAGCTGAGACCCACATTCCAGCATACAGCCAGGTCCCCTGATGAACTACATATTAATAAATCAGAAAGATATAGATCCACCAACCTAGGGAGATGACAGGTAAGCTTATGTCTCAATCTGGGCTGTGAGTTAGAGGGAGAATGTCTCCCCTGAAAATTGTAATTGTGAGCCTTCCCTCGTACAAATTTTTGGTTCAAGTGACACCATTCATTTGGTATAATTTATTACCTGGGCCAAAAAATTAACATAAAATTAATCCTCAGCTGGTGAGTACTCTAGGACAACACCTGGCAAAAGCA